TCAAAAAGTCCCAAATCTTAGCTCCTAAATCATCTAAATCAAGTATAGGCAAGATTCTGGGCACAGTCCATACTGGAGCAAAATTCTGTCTGTGGACCTGTGAAGCCTAGAAAACAAGTTAACTGCTTCTAAAATACATACATACATGCAATAGGCATAGGAGAGATACTTCCGTTCCAAAAGGTAGAAATTGGAATGGAAAAAGAAGTCATTGATCCCAAACAAGCCTGAAATCCAGCAGGACAAATTCCATTACGTTTCAAGGCTCAAGAATAACTACTGTGGTATAATGCTCTGTCTTCTGAGATGGCCAGGAGAGTATTGTGGGGGGACCCCCAGACCTTAGTGAATTATAAGAGGCTCTAGCTTCCTTAGCAATGAGGCCTAAGGGAGGGCAGCCGGCACCTAACGAAGAAAATGGAAAATATCTGTAAATAAACTGCCTATTTTGTCAAGGATGAAACCTGAGGACAGTGGTCCCTTGGACTGGCCTTAGCCATGTCTGTAGCTACAAACATTCTGGTAGCCCCCAAAGCTGCACTTGAGGGTAAGAGAAGGGAAGGAAGAAGAAAGTTCTATAGCCAGTAAATTGCTTATGCTTGAGATGAGGGCATAAGCACAGCCAACTTCATGAGTCTACAACCTGTGCAAGTGCACAAGGCCCTCACTTAGAAGGACCTCAGGATTGGTTTACTGCTCTTGTATTACCATTTTGAAATTCTTTGTATTTGAACGAAGGTCCTATGTTACAATTTTGCATTGAGCTCCCAAAATTATGTTACTAATCCTGAGTGTAAGACACTGCCCTACACTTGCTTATAACAAATTTGTTAATGAATAAGGAAAAAATTGGAATCCTGAAAAAGCTTTCTATCTTGAAGTCAACTAGAAAGAATCCTGTAAGCCTTGTTTTGCATACAGAGCGTTTTGGAATAAGTCACCCAAGGAAAGAAGCTGAATGCTTCTTGAAAGACAGCTAATGGATGGAGGGTCCTCGAAGATCCTTAAGCGGTCTGCATTAGTCTTCCCAAAGGAAAGAAGGAGGAATACACCACCAGTACTCCCAATGCGTTCTTTTTGGGTATCTAACTACTGATTTCTGATTGTGTCTCAGCCTGCCAGTGTGCTGTAAAAGAAACCCATAGAGCAAACAGTGTGGCTATGGACCTCCCTGCATGTTTATGAGTCCCACATCACCTGGGGCTGGTGATTCTCAGCATTTTATGCCCCTTTATTTGGAAGCATTTCCCATTGTCCACAGAATATACTAAATGCAACTCTGCCCTTCTGAACCATCAGTAAATAATTATTCTTCTAGCTGCCCAAGAAAATGAAGGGCATTCACTAAGAAGTTTCTTAGCCTCTCTCCCTTCAAGCTTTTCTTTACTTTAAAACATATCCCTCTCATCTGGCTTCTATGTCTTATCTTGCAAATGGATAAAGTCATGTTTCTGTTTTCATATAATAACATAATGTCATCCTTACCAGAAGTACATTTTCGGGATGAGAAACCCAAGGTTATTCTCATTCAATTTTTTGTCATCCAATATGTCTTTCAGGATTTAAATAAATAAATATTCATGCAGGGAGTACAACTTTCTGTACTTTGGGAGTATCCTTACATACTAGTTAACATGCTTAATCTATTTTTGAATTAGCTCTCTTCATCTGCCCAAGCTCAGAGCTCCCTTTCCCTATCTTCATTTTACTGCTTTTACCTTGGCTGTCTATGACAGCCAGTCTCCAAAGATGGCCCCACTGGGCCACACCTCCCAGTATTTGTGGACTTGTGGCTGGTCCTGTCCCTCATTTTAATCAATAAGACAGGACGGTAGTGACACTGTGCCAGTTCCAAGTCTATGCCTTCAGAAGACCTGGAAGCTTCTGTTTTTGTGCTCATGAGATTCAGATTTAAGAAGCCTATTTTCATAGACCAAGCTAGACCCATAGTCAGACCATATGGAGAGAGAAAAAGAGATGGATGTTTCAGCCTTCCAGTTAACTGTGTTAACACTTGAGACAAGTGAGTGGAGACAGATATCTTGGATAATCCACTTCAATCCACCATATTTTATTACATAAGAGACTGTGAGTGAGAGCATCATAAGAATCATCCAACTGAGCCCAGCCAACCCACAGAGTTATAAGGAATAATAAAATGGTTGTTTTAAGCTCCTATGTTTTGGGAAGGTTTGTTTGGCAGTAATAGATAACTGAGACACTAATTCTCTTCACCAGTCTCCTCGTGTCAGCTTCCTAGCAGCCCCATCAGTTTCATTACCTAGTCTGGAGCCAAGTAAACATAGGTAGTCAACATATACACAAATTTCAAGTGGATGGAATTCCAAAATATATCTTTGCTTGCACAGTTTGAAGTTCTTTGGGGAAGCTCTTTTCCAACATTTTGAGGCCCAGCCCTGGGCTGCCATTCAAGCATTTGCCAATTATCTTATAATTTTGGCAGTTGTACTTTGCCTGACATTTCTGCGGACCTCATTTGTATTTAAAGTACCTCAATATGGATATAGTAGCTGTAGTCTAAAATACAGAATGTGATTTGAAATTAATGTGTTTTGATTGCTGTGAATGCCTTGTCTGATACTGAGGTAATTTAAAAAATGACATGATGAGACCATTCCTCCAGAATTTCAGGCTGTTCTGTAAGTATTTTGTTTCTAGCAATGTGTTGCAGGTTTTTGAAAGTAATAATCTACAATGCATGCCAGAAGAAAATTCCAATTTGAAGTACTAAAAGAAAAGTGTAAAACATTGCCACATTTATTAGCATTTTGAGGTGCCAAAATCTATGTGAAATTTCAAATGCTATCCATCTCCTCATTGTGGTAACATTACACATGAGAATTCACAGGCTCTTGCCTGCAGAAACACTTCCAAAGAATTTCTATTGGGTCCTCAATGAGGGTTTCATGTCAGCTCTAGCCAGAGCCCCACTTGCTTTACCATTTTCTTCTCCCATGCATCTGATGGATACTGCTGTGACCTCCTGGAACATATGTTTTCCCATCAGCTGAGGTACCAGAACCTTCTACATGCCAAATTTCTGAGTGTTCTGATTTGCCTCACACTCTGTTAGGTAGACACATAGCTGTGTTTCATGGGCACTATGTTTTCCTGAAACAAATCTTTTAAATTTACTCATTGTGCCCCTGTTTACCACAGGATTCCTATAAACTCATTGGGTTCAGAGAGGACTCATCTTCATGGACACTGAGTGACAGGCACCATTGTGTGCTCATGTCTACTCCTGACCACCATAACTTACCATGGCTTTAGAAGATCACACTTATCAAGCTTATATGACTTACCATAGCTTTATAAGGTCACAGTTTTCCAGCTTCCTCTTCTGGTAATTTTTTTGCAGGCTTTCTCAGAAATGTCCAGCCAGTCTGAATCATAATCATGTACTTGAACCCAGCTCAGGTTCAAAGAGGGTTTCCCACCATGAAACATAGTAAATAATTGCATGAGACACTGAACACCTGAGATGTAGGCGTAAACGGTTCACTGACATTTCCCTAGTAAGGACTGCAAAGAACGTGGAAGGGGGAGACTAGAGGCCAGATATATTCCTAACTCACTCACTCACTCACTTACTTGTCGGGTAACTTAAGCAGGTTAGTGACACTCTCCTGGTCTCAGTTTTTAGATGATCCCAGTAATTTCAGCCCATAATTCTGAATGACAGTCAGGCATGGTTTTCTTCCTACATGCTGAGAACACACCACTCCTAAAGAGAGATGTGGACTTGGATGAAACCATGGCAGGCTCCCTTCTCACTAAGCACACCCTATGGTGTGATGATGCAGGGGGAACAGGTGGGCAGCCTAGGCCTGTGAAGGTAGGCATGAAAACAGCAAAGCAATAAAATGCAAGTGCGAGACAGAAACACTGGCTTTTTATTGTAAAACAGGGTGCAGAAAAAAGATGACAAAGAGACATTGCATTAAAACACATCAAGGATAACTTTTCCTAAACTTCCTAGTGGGCCAAGATAGAGTATTCTCTTCAGGATTTAGACGGACAAAAACTGTTCCCTGGGATGGCATGGACTGAAAATGTTCTCTCAATGCTTCTATTGAGACTAAAAAGAAGCATAAATTTGTCTCCCTAAGGCCAGAAAGGCTCTACATAATAAAAAATAAAAGCTAAAATATGGAGCCCTTACCACATGCCAGACACTGAGCTAAACATTTTACTTACATTAATACATTTAATCATGCATCAGCCCCATGATGTAATATTACTATTTTCATTCCCATTTTAAAGATGGGAAAACAGACACATAAAGAGTTTAAGCAACTCGCCCAGGATCCACAGCTAGTAAGCTGCAGAAGTAGGATTTGAATTTAGGCAATTTGGGTAAGAGCACTTAAATCATGTGGCACTAGGGTTTCTCAGCCTCTGCACTGATGACATTTTGGGCTGGATAACTGTTGTGGAGGGTTACCACATGTTGTGTGGCATCTTTTGCCTCTATACACTGGATGCTAGTAGCATCTCCCCAGTTGAGACAATCAAAAATGTTTCCAAACATTTGCCAAATCACCCCCTATTGAGAACCATTGTTTGGCACCAAAACTCTCTACAGTCTGACAATGGCCTCTGTCACAGCTCTGACCAGCAGTTACTATTCCCAGCTTCCTTGGTGTTATAAAGGAGGTTGTGAGTAGGTATTAACGAGTTAATATAGACGTAATGCTTAGGGAAGCCTTGGGTTCATAACAAGCACTAATGTAAGCATTAGCTTTTATTATTGCTGTCTTTGCTGTTGTCGTCCTGACAGGAAAGGCAGCATGGTGGGGTGGAAGGGAAGCTCTGTAGTGGACAACGAAAGGTTTGGGAAGTGATTCTCTCATGGATAATCAAAACCAGGGCTCCAGTGTGAAAGATCCAGCCATCGGTGACCAATTCCAGCAGCCACATCCAGCAGTAGAAGCTTTGTAAACGAAGTTAAAACATCAGCTTTGTCCAGGCAGAAAATTAAAACATCAGGAAAAATTAATTGCTTTCAGTGAGTTTTTATTAAAAAGTCCTTTTGAGAATATGATCTCTGTCCCATTCTTGCAATTTGTCCTTTCTGTTGGAGCCTTAGTTGTCTCCTGCCTTGAGGCAATCTGCTACTGACTTATTGAAGGACACATCTCATGTCGAACAGGCAACGGCTTGAGGAAGAGGAAGAATAGGCCTGCATAGAAGCAAGAAAAGGAGACCAGGCTGATGTGTGAAGGTATAAAACAGTCAAGGGAGTTATCATATTTTGTTGCCCAATTGCTGGCAGAAGATGAATCAACAAGTAGGCAGTCATCTTTAACTGGTGATCGAGTGGTGGAGGCTGGTGGATAAGTCAGGGAGGCTGGAGCGCTTACACACCTGTGTGAGGTGAGCACTGGGACTCATTCCAGAAACAACCACGAAGGGCTTTCTGGAGACGCTGAGACACTGAGGCACCCTTGAGACAAAATTATGAACTGCTAGGCAAAATCCACCATGAGCCTTCACCACTAAAACTAAGATTGATCAGGGTTCGATGGCATCAGCTGCTTTAAAACAAGAAATATAAAAAATTCAGGGAACATGAGAGCACAGTGCATGTAGAAAGATTTTGTCATTTTCATTAAAAGCATCATATCAACTTAGTAATGCTTACAGACTTACAGGAAAAGCCATGGTGGAGTTTCACAGGTGAGGATTGTGAAGAAATCTACTCACAGCAGTTAAATGACCACTTTTCCATATGCCCATTTAAACTCCTTGTGTGTCCCTTTCTTTATCTGAAATCACAACCGTGTTGTACGTGGTTTCGCCTACTTCATATTAAGCATTTAATTTATTCCTCATAACACCTTGAGAGGTGGGTATTATTAACCTTAATTAACAGGTGAAGTTTAGAGAAGTTAAGTCATTTGCCTAAAATCACATAAGCAGTCCTAGATACACCAGGATCTCTATTTCAATTCCTGTACTCTTTCTAGTATCCTGATCCTGAAAAGCAGACACCAGCTCTCTGAGGCCTCTTTTAGCTCCAAAATTCCATGACTTTTATGGGCTCTGTATTTTTAAAAACGTGTCTGGTTCTTAAATGTTTTCTTCTTGGAAAGGTTTTATCAGAGGCAAAGAAGCCACCAAGGGGGCCTATTTCCCTTTCCCCACCACCTCTTGTATCTTTCTGTCCCCACCAGTTTAGAAGACCTGGAGATGAGTTCCAAATACCTATTCTAGATAAATGTTTTAATCCAGAAGCTTTCTCAGGAAAGAACCACAGACGGCAAGCTGACTTTGGGAAAAGAGAATTCAGACTAACGCTGAAATGACCAGAGCTGACTAGGAACAGTCCAGATCTAGTGGCCTTTTATGAGTGAGAATAGAGCTCTATGGGTTTACAGGTTAAGTGAGATGATACACCTGGGAAGAGGTCACCCAAATATCTTCCATATCCAGTCAGTCCATCACATGGACAGCAGATAAGCTCTGAAAAAAAAAAAAAAAAAAAAAACAGACCATGTCACTTCCTGGCTGAAATATCTCCACGGGACTTCAGCAACTTTTAGGATAATCCAAAATTCCAAGCACAGCCTCTAGGCTCCTCCAGAACTTTATCCCTCTTACCGTTCCCAGCTCTACCTCTAAACCCATGCTTATATTCACCTCTTACTGGAATTCCTGCTTTTTTCAAAAAAGTTGTTGGCTGCTTGTTTTTGCCCCTTTCATAATGTGAAATTCCCCCAGCCAGCAAGATCCAGACTAAAGTCACCACCTCTCTAAGGACCTCCATCCTTTAATCCTACCTCTAGGAAGATGAGCTACTTTGAGTTATTATTCCATTTCTTTGTCTCCACCATAAGTCTACATCTTCTAAATCCGTAACTTGTTTGTTTGCTTGTCATGGTGCCAAACTCATAGTAGGTGTTCAATGAGTGTTCATGTGAATGCAACAGTGTTAGAGTTAGTCAAAATGATGTAATAAGAAGGAATTAGGGCATGCATTTGATTGCACTTTGTCTTCTTTGCTTCATCCCCTCCAACTCCTTGGCTCTATTTTGGTATTGGTTTATTTGCATTAAAATGAATTAATATTGGTTGATTTGTGGTAGAATTTATTATTTTCTTTATGTTTCATATGAGTCAGGGACTGGCATGTCTATCCTTTATATAAACACTACAAATCTCTCTGCACATATGAAAGCACCCATCTCATGCACTTACAAGTAGGTGTTCATCAACAAAGTCCTGCCTTCTGCAATCTAACAACCTCTCTTGTACTTTCTCCTCCTAACCTATGAGGAGCATTCAGGGATGGTTTCCTAACTTAGGCAACTCACTTGCTCTGTGTCCAGTCACTTGAGGTTCAATTGCTAAATGGTTTCCAAAGATATCATGAGTCAACAAGGCTAAGACATAGATGGGAGAATGCTAAAGAAAATTCCTCCTCCACCCTGGTCATGCCCCAGGACTTTTTTGTTCCCTTTCAGGTTATACTTTTCAATTCTGTAGCAGCTCTCTGGAATTAATCCCCTGACTTTTTTACTGCCTATGCCCAATATAGGATTAGGCAGCGAACATTCGCAGCCAGACCAGCTGAGGAAGAACACAGATGATGAGATTTATAGATAAAATAGGAGGCAGGCCAGTGGAGGGAGGTGAGGTGGGCCGAATGTGCACAGACAGACACAACTTAGCAGGGACCCTCACATTACATACCTACATGCAGAGGTGGGCCCATCACTAGGCAAACATGAACATCAATTATTTGTAGAGAGCACAATTTGCTGCTTCTGCTTAAAGAAGAGTATATATGGAGTCTATAGGCCTACTTGTTAGAGTCAAGGCTCAGCTTTCTCACTATGAAATCTTGAGTGAATCATTTAATTTTCCAGGTCTTAGTTTCCTCATCTATAATATGGGTACACACCTCATGGGATTGCTATGAAGACTAAATGTGATAATACAAGAAAAGTGCTTAGCACAAAGTTTAGCAAGGAGTAGTGGTCCAAAAATTTTAGCCATCATCACCATCGTTATCATCAACATTACTATGATTGGCTTAAGACTCAAATTAGGTCAAGTAACTTGCAAAGAGAACACTTTCAACTAGGAAAATACCCCCAATCTTTTAGTTACTTAGAGTATAAGATTTCTCTTGAAATATTTTGAGAATTAAAAATATATTCAGACTATTTTACATTTTGAGGGCACTATTCACAAAACTGTGGCTACTGTGAAGAACAACTAGTGTCCCAAATGTGCTTGTTATTGTTGTGTAAGAAGGCAGCTGATATTTACAGACTTCTCCCTTTTGAGTCATCTCAACTGGTCTGGCTATGAATGAATATTGCCTAATGCTGTCTTTGGGGGTAGCCAATCGATGTAATATGGACCAGAGGCTCTAGGACCTCTCCTCAGGCAAAGACAAAAACATCTTATTTCTTTTGCACCCCCCGTGATGCAGAACACAGAATGGATACCTAAGACAAATGAAGAATCCTGAGAACTCTGCTGCTTGCTCAGGCTGCTCAGAGAAAAAGCATGTAGCTTTGCTGTTATGATAACCTAAGTTTGAGTCCTTCTCCACCAAGTATTAGTAGATGTACAACCTCAGATGTTTAGCTTCTCTGCAGCTGGGTGACATGACTTACCTTGTAAAACTGTGGCACTGAATGATTTGACATTCTTAGCACAGGGCCCAACATATATGAGATGCTTAGCAAACTGTAGGATTTTTTTTGTTTACCCCTTTCTCCCTTCTGGGTAAGAAAATAAGGCAGAATGAGAGATGGAGAAAATTACCCCTCTGGGATGCAATTCAAAAAATGACCATTTAGATAGGGAGAGGAGCCAAAATAGTCTAGAGGGTTATTTTAGAACAGGATATGGGCTCTCAATTCAAGAAAAATGATCTGTGTAAAGCCACGTAGCCTATCTTGAGAAACATTTTTTGGGGGAAACTTTCTTTTTCTGGCAAACATTTAAAAACTGTTGCTTTTACATTAAAAGCCAAGATAAAACTATTTTCAAAGTACACTGTTGGCTCACTGAGTGATGGTGGGGTCTATGCTTAGTACATGGGCTCCATAAATATTAATGAAGGGCCCAGATAACAGATAATAATGGTACTGGTGCTGGACTAGTTCTCATGCCTTATGTTTTCATCCGGAGGGGTTGGCTATGATTTCATGTTTAAAGGACTGAACTTCACAAGAAAACATATCAGGCAGTGTGATGTATGTCTTCCTACTCCTAACAATGAGATCTATGCAAACTCACAGTCATTCACATATACACAAACTGAAATCAGTAAAAGCTGAATTTACACAAGTGTTTATTTTGTGTTGAAGATACAGTTTTGCCACAGGGACTACATGTTTTGCCTTAATTTGATTATTTTGCTGGTATGTCTAGACACATTGGTGTCTCAGAAAAGCAGCTATTATCCCCAGTTTTTCCCCAAAGTTTCTCATATTTTCCAGCCACAGTAACTCCTGCTTCACCTCTCCCCACACTCATATATGACACTCTCAGTTTGCCTGTCCTATTTATTCACAAGACTGTGTATATGTTCTATTAGCAATGGACTAAGAACTTTTAAATCTATATATGCATGTGTCTTCCTGGCACACACTTTCACATGTACATAGGACTGGATATATTCACTGTCTGCTGCTGGGCAAGGGGTGGGGTCTCATGTCCAGGCTGAATGGGGATGAACCACCTCACATCTTTGACTTGTATTCACATTACATGGTCCATAGGAATCACGTAGCTGTTTTGTAATATAAACTCCAAAGCAAATCCAGTATGTAGACTTGCCTGTAAACTACCCAAAAGTCACTGTGCCCACACAAAATAGTTCAGAACCACAGCATTATAACTGAAAATCACAGATAAACTTAAAGAAATGGCCAGGCATGGTGGCTTACACCTGTAATCCCAGCACTTTGGGAGGCTGAGGTGGGCAGATCACCTGAGGCCAGGAGTTCTAGACCAGCCTGGCCAACATGGCAAAATCCTGTCTCTACTAAAACTGCAAAAATTAGATGGGATTGGTGGTGCGCGCCTGTAATCCCAGCTACTTGGGAGGCTGAGGCAGGAGAATCACTTGTACCCAGGAGGTGGAGGTTGCAGTGAGCTGAGATTGCACCACTGCATTCCAGCCTGGGTAACAGAGCAAGACTCTGTCTCATAAAAAGAAAAATAATAATCAACAATTCTACTTTTTAACAGCAAATAATAATGAAAATCCAGGAACCATAAAGACAATTAACTAACAAAATAATCATCTGAATATTGCATGACTTTTCCTTCAAGAAGAATCTTACATAGTAATTATTTTTCTGTACCATGGAAAGGCAGGAAATAAATATATAAACATCATTACCTTATGTATTTAAAAACCCCATCCCATGGATGCATTCATGATGGATATCATTGATATCTCTTTCTAAAATACAACAAAAGAACATCACATATCAAAATTTCAGATACACATTATCTTCAAATCAACAAGTCTACTTTTAGAAATTTATCCTAAAGATGTCATAAAAATGTACACATGTGTATTCCCAGTATGTAAGTTGCAGAGTACTTTTTAATAATGAAGAAAACCACCACCCTATAATAAATACTAAGAAACCATTTGACAGAATAATGTAGAACACAGTTATGGGCATGGGTATTTGGATGTTTCCAAATAAAAAAGGAGGATTTTTGAAAGAACATATTGTGTTTATGCCTATGCATGTTTATGTGCATATATGCATAGCAAAAATACATAGAAAGATTAAATGGGCTATCACTGGGTGGTAAGATTAAAAGTTATTTTCACTTACCTCTTTATACCTTTTTGCACTGTAAAAACTTATTTAAATTTGGGGGGAAACACACAACAATAGTGGGCACACACATATTAATGCCAAGTAGGAATATATTAAAAGTCAACCCTCCCCAATACACATGCACAGGTCACTGGGGATTGATGATCTCTCTAATGTCAGTAAGAGGAGCTGAGTCGTCAGGAGAGTAGGGGTGAAAGTGAAAAGTGGTGTGTTCCTTAAGGCAGATGAAATCCAGGAGAGTGTGCCCATGTACCACATGCCCACTATATCCAGAATTGCATTTACTCGTCAACCAAGTGAAACATTCAATGCAGCTCATTTAGCATTTCATTGCAAAAAAATGAAGCAGGCACAGAAACTAAATATAATACTTTATTCTTTCTCTCTTACTTTGATCCCTCCTTTCCTTCCTTCTTTCTTTCTTTCTCTCTTTCTTCTTTCTCTTCTTTCTCATCTCTCTCTTTCTTCCTTTCTTCAGATTTCAAATTCTTTATAAGCTGTCATATGGCCAAACCACCCCTGGAGAAAGTGGCAAGCTGACATTTTTAAATTTAAAAGTTGCCTTATTTTCTCTGCATTCTGGTCCTGGAAATGGAGTAAGTTTGCTTTGCACACCCTTGGCTGCAGGGGTGATCAGCATTCTGTCTGTTCTTCCCAACATTTCTGCAAGCATCTCCCATCTGAGGTGCTGCATTATTTCCAAACTGCCTTAGACTCAGATACTCCACCAGGCATATGACGGGCCAGTTAAGCTTCATAACAAGCAGAGCTAGAACATGTAGATTTTATTTAAAAGGACACATGACTATCCATTCAAGATGAAATGTTGTCATCCTGGTCAGGCCTGGATCCAATCTGTGTTGGAGAACATGAAAGAACTTCTGGCTACAACAACGAATCATCATACGCTAATATAACCTAGTCAGGTACACTGCTATTTCTTGCCATTTTCTTTTTTATCCTGTGAAGGTTGTCATCATTTCACACACATTTTGCAATGCTAAGGGTAGTTACATTACTGCCTATCTTGTAGGGATGGGTAAGCAAAAGCACTTTATAACTGTGTTTCAACAATTTTGAATTTACTTCCCCAAATCTCTTTCTAACTCTATCCTCTATGTGTCTTTTTTCTTTACATATAAATATGATGTCTTTCTCTGTGACACACAAACATACAAAGTCTGGACAAATAGCCAGGGGGTTGGGAGTTCTATTCCATTTGAATTTTGAAAATGGAATTGGTAAACTCAAAATATGACTCTTTCAAAGCAATTTGGAGACAAGGCATCACTAGACTAATGGGATGTAGGTAAAGTAACAACTAACCTGAAATGTTAGAAACCCCCAGGTCTCTGAAATTGCCACCACTCACAGATCCCAGAAAGTCCAGCCCACACACCTTCAACCGTGAGACAAGATGGCTGGTGGAAGGAGAGACCATTGCTTGTGGTGCTGTTAGGTTGTTTATGCTGTTGTTTACATGTTTTAAACAGCATAGCTATTAATGAGATTATGTTATGAGAGCTCATTTCCTTCTATATTATTGCTGTGACACTCAGTAACAAAGGGGAAACTCAAATACACAGTAACTACATATGCAGTTGGATTCTACAGACATTCTCCCTTCTTTCAGAAGGAAATTTCTATTACTTTCACTTCTCAGGTATGTCACAATGAGTTTGAGAAATAAAAAGGAGAAAATACCTCTCAAAAGAACAAATAGCGCATACCACGAATTAACAGAGCAATAGTAATTGGCAACAACATCCACAGATATTAACCCGCAGTGCTGAGCCACGCAGAAGCAGAAACGAGTGAGATTAGTTCCATTTCAGTTACAATAACAACAGGAACCAGGCCCACACGTTTGTATCTTAGTGGAAGCAAAGGACAGATTGTAAAGCAAGTCTAGATTCAATGATCAGACAGGATGGAGCCCTGCTTCCGAAAATCAAAATGAAATAATTGCCAGTGGCAGCTTACACTGGGTTCTAAGAGTTAGGAGGCAAATATTTTTGCAAAAAGAACCATGGGGAAGCAAAATGAAAATAAATTGCTCCAGGTTCTAGGCATTCTCTGTGCTTGGGCCCTGGCTGTCTTATACACAATTTTCAGAAAAATGGATGGTTCCGAAGCAAAACAAAACAAAATGGAACACATCAAGGGGCAATTTTTGCATGGCCCCGAGTAAAACAATTCAGATCTCCCAAGCTGGTGTCTATGGTTTAATAAAGGATTTAAAATATGCCTTGCAATATTTCTAATTCCTTCTACAATTGAGTCAAAAGACAAAGAACCAAAATTGTAAAAGAATGTTCTAAATGAATACTATACTGGAAAATAGAAATCAAAAGTGGGAACTTTAAAAATTGAATGTTTGTTTAGCTTTTATACCACCCTGAAACAAGCAACCCTGGTCTGTTCACTTGGATTTGATTTGAGAATTTGAGATCTGCCTCTCCTACCTCTGCTAAATTAATCCCACTCCTCCTTCCACTCCCACTCATGAGTCTTTATGACTTCCTCCCTCTTTTACACCCAAATGCAGAAGTGAAGTGTGAAAAGCTGTTTAAGTACTCTTACTGAGAAAGGAAACTATCTGGCCATTTTTTATATTCCATGATATTAAAGTAATTCATTTGCGTTTGCACTAATGACAGTAAATCTCTCTTGCTGACAAGCTGTGGTCAATTATCCTTTCTACAGCCTTTTAAATACAAAGCAGTAGGAAGTGCGTCAGTGTTGGAAACTTGTGGCTTGCTTATTCAAACGAAACAGCCAACCAGCTTAAGTAGCTCCCTCAAAAATGCATCACCTTGCTGCTAGACCCCAAACAGCTCTCCCAAGGGCGTGCAAACACTGGGAACTTCCGCTGGAATTTACATGTATGAAGGAAATGGTTTAAATAAAGTGGTATGCTATTTATCCCTATAATGAGTAGTTTAACAGTGACAATTAGAAAGGAAATTCTACAAGCCAGGACTCCAGTTACTTATTACTGCCACTGAAAGTCAATTAAAGTATCTAACTAATTACAGGGATTGGGATCATCTGTCATCTGGCAAATCATATTAGAGGGAAGAGGGCCTTGGTTTGTTTTTGAAAGTTTGTGATCTAGTCTCCAGCATGCTGGTTAATTTTCGGACAAGGGAGTGAATGAGGGGTCTTGCCCCACACATCTGCAGATCTGTTCACCTAGGAAACTCCAGAAATGTTAACTGTACTTCCATCCAACCTCAGCTGCTATACAAAGAGCAAGAGTTGGCCAGGAGATGGATGGAGAGAGATCCACTCTGCCAGACCAATCTTTCACCCAGAACATTGTTCTTCAACTCAAGAGCGTATAGTGATTCCTTGTAGCCTCCTACAGCAAGTTCTTACTCCTTTGCCCACTTCCAAGCCTGCTCTCCTACCATTCCCCAGTGCTTCCATCAATCATCTCCGTCAGCTGTTTCACAAATATTATCATCACGACTTAAATCCCATCTGTTCTTTTTCTCAGCCTGTTAGTTAAGATGCATTCTACCCCTCTCTTCTGCGTATCCAAACTCTTTTCACCCTTAAAGGCTCAGTTCTGGTCCTGATTCCTCCTTAATGCAGAATCCAATACCAGATCTTTCCTTCTATACACTGCCTATAGGGTTTTGACTTCTTCACTCAATGGTTCTCAGATTGTGAACGGGTTACACCTTAAGTCTTTGCTTCCTGCCCAGCATCTGGGATACATTTACACCCCCAAAGTAGTAACCCCCTGATTCTTGGTCTCTGTTATTACTGCATTTAGTCTCATGTTTAGTAAAGTGTCTTAATCGGACCTAGCTAGCATTCTTTTGTTAAATTTAATTTGGCCTGAAGCACCTCCTTATGTATTTGAAGTCCAACCTGAAGGTTTCTCCATACATAGTGAACCTAACTGGATGTGTAAACAGACTGTAATTTACTTTTGCACCAATCACTGAGTTTTGGCCATTCAAAGGCAGTCAGCAATTCAAACTGTGCTCACATAAGACAAATGCCAAGATGTAACCAAAATCTGGCTGCTTCTGTACCTCACTTTCCTTTTTCTGTACAGAAATCCTCTCCAACCACATAGCAGTGTGGAGTCTATCTGAACCTATTCTGGTTCAGGGGGCTGCCTAATTTGCAAATCATTCTTTGCTCAATCGAACTCTGTTAAATTTAATTTGTCTTAAGTTTTGCTTTTAACACCTTCATTTGTTCACTCCTTCACTCATTCAGCACATGTTTAGAATGGCTTCTTACACCAAGACACTTCAACAATGACTTCTAAGTCTGCGTCCTGGGCATCCTCTCCTACCACATGGCCTCACTGGGAAGATGCATTTGCTCATACCACCAAGAACAAATCAAGGAGTCTCTTAATGCTCACTGATCCTTCTTTGCCAATACTTACAGGGAAATAGCTATAAAAGCACTTACAAATATTAAAAAATTGAGCTCTCACCCCTCAGCTTCACACAGCTCTCCCCAGAGCAGTCCCAGAGCAAACCAGGAGACAAAGAGGGGAAAATATTTTCAAATGATCTTCTGAATGATTTCAGAGCTTACATAAGGTTCAAGTTTAGTTCAAGGGATGGGCAAAAGTTGGGTCAGCCAGCTATGCTAGGGTCAGCCAGACACTGGGGTCAGCCGGCCATGTTTGGGTTGAAGCAAGAACATTTTTGTACTTCACATCCCAAGACAGATATTGGAATTTTAGCTTTCCTTCTTGCAATTTCTTTATGTTTTAATAGCCCATTTCACCGTGGCATGACACTTCCCAGAGGATCTATTTTCTCACTCTTCCCATTCCTGGCATGTGCTTTGGCATCTTATGTTCTGCACCTGTGGTATTTAGACTTTGTATCTCCACTAGCATTTGTCTCCAATACATTGTTTGTGGAAAAATGAACATACTGCATGCATCCAAGGAAACTGAGTAGGAAGAAACAAGAAACCTGACCAATGTGAAAATGCACAAAAGTTTTTCATTAAAGCTTCTTACCATTTTCTGCAGGAAATATTGCCCATAACAAAGCATTGAAAATGGAATATTCTCAGGCATCAAACATAAAGGCGGGTTTGATAGGTTCAACAACAGATCATATCACAAAGGACTGCTTAAAACTATTCAATGCTCCACCTCTCTGACAGTACTCAGCACATTGCATCAAAACTATTGCATTTTCCTTGCAACTACCACACTAAAAGAATTAAGAGTATAGAGCTGTATGTCTTCCTGGTGCCTAGCATGGTGCCTGGCACCCAGTAGGCCCTAGTAAATATTTGTATTTGGTTATATAAGTACCATGTTCTAGGTACAGAGGTTTCAAAATGCCCAGATACATAGTAGCCATCTTCAAGAAATTCAAACCCTAGTGCTGTGATTCCCAAGCCTGAGTGATCTTCAGAACTGCTCACAAAGCTGTAAAAGTACAGATTTCCAAGACTCATCTCCAGAGATGCTAATTCAATAGGTCTACATAAGGGCTCAGAATTCTATATTTTTAATAAGTTTACCAGACATCTCTAATTATCAGGTAAATTGGGAATCATTGGTCTAGAGGGTAATAATAAAGCCTTGTTTTTACACCTCTTTTCCTACACTAAAGTATTTTCATATCCATTATCTCACTTGATTGTTACTCTCTGAGGGGGGTAACATAACCTGCAGGTTACAAATGTGGAAGTGAAGCCGTGACAGTTTACAAAGTTGGTGAATTCAGAGCCTGAATTTGCACCTAGGATTTCCATCCAAAAGCTCAATAGTGTTTCTATCTCACCATCCTTCCTGAGAGTGATGACCCAGGTTAGCTCTTTTGAATAAATAGTAACAAACCACAGGTCATGTTACGTGAACAGCCAGTATGTTTGAGTCCCTCTCTTATGTTCTTTGGGAGAGATGAAGTAAAATGAAAATACTGCCTTCTCCCCCAACCCCTCCCCGAGAATGACACCAGAGAGATAACAATTATGGCGACAGATCCTCTCAGTGATAGCAAACAATGAAGGTTATTTCCTTATAGGTACATTTGACATGGAAAATACTAACAAAGTCAATTCGAATGGGTGCAATAAGCCTGGTTCATGTGTTACATGGTCCTTTGGTAGAGACTACACAGTGAAGCCAACAGCAAACCAAATGCAATTCTTCAACTGAACGTGGTTCATTAATTCAGTGCTCTCGCTTCTCTCCGAGTTGTTACCTCCTAGCCCACTTTGCTTTACTCTACCATCTGCAGTGTGGCTGAGATAACTCATTGAAGGATTTATCCCACTATTATATATCCAATATGACATTAACAGGGCATTTTATAGCAGACATGAAAATTCCAGCTGCCTTTCTGGATTAGTAACACAGCAAGTTTCATTTTGCAATTACAAACTACAAGAGAGCAATGCCAGCAAAAGGCACCTCCATTTTCTATGCCGGTACATGACCTGCAGCTTTTCCCTGCCACCTCCCTGACAGGAAGAGGCCAGAGGTCCAATAGTGTGGACACAGAGCTATGTCATCATTCAAGGACATGTCCCTTCAGGCTGGGAGACACACAGTGAGGCTCCATGAAGCATACAGAGGACTTGTGCTGACAATAAGAAAATAGGAGACAAGCCACTAAAAAAAGAACCAGAAAGAAATGAAAGTTTTTAGTCTTTGATCTCTTGTAAATTCTGCTTGGAAGTGTTTCTGGGCAGAAGAACATCTCATCAAGGTTTTTTTGTTTTCACTCTTCTATGTGGTGGTACCAGGTATTACCAGAGGAAGTTAGGGAGGGAAGATGGAAAAGACAAATGTTCCTAGCCATTTTTCAGAGCACTGACATTCAGGGAAAATGACTGACGGCTTTTGTTTCCTTATACTCACAACTGGACATTAACAACTCTGAAAGGTTAGTATCCTGACGAAGCTGGCATTCTATGATAACTCTCCCTTTATGGTCTCCTGGGTTGGGATTTTATGGCCTAATCATACTAAAATCAGATTTCACTGGGCCCACTGAATTATACACACACACATACAAGTTCAGACCACCTTTTAAGTAATCACTCTGGGAAGCTACATGCTTGATGGGAACCTCCTTCTTTTAAAATGAGCATTATGGTCGATGGCATATTCATTCAGCCATGGAATATGTATTTACTGACATCTATTATTACAAGGTCCAGGGCAAGTTGCCACTGCTAAGATGAGATAAGGCAGCAAAGGCAGTCAAGGATCATCCTGAGTAGGTGCAGTTTGGAACACCCCACAGAGAGGAGTCCAGCTGCAGCCCACACTGTGCTTACTTCCCACTGGATGTAGATGAAAGCAGGGGAATGGGGGATGGAGGCTATAGTAGCTCCCGAAATCTGTATGGGGCAAGTCTGAGATTTGAAGACTGAATCACATTACTTCTAATATAACAGTTTCTCTTTTTCTGTGATCAGTGTTATTCATGGACATTTCTTTAGTAACAAATGTTATATCCAAAGGCATGGAATAAATGACTTTTATGTTGGTGTGGTATTGTCTCTGAGCTCTAGCATTTTTAGTGGAGTGAAGTACATTTTGAAATAAACAAAAACAAGGTATCTTACCAGGATAGGAACTACGAAAGCAGATCTAAGTGACCATGCATATCTAAAAGAATGGTTGTTGTGGGCCAGACGGCTCTCAATGGGAGCCAATGAGGTTGCCAACTTTACTGCCTCTGGGCCAGCTACCTTAGTACCTCCATTAGGAGCTCTCATTGTCCTTGTGAAGATCTGCAGTTACAGTCATTCATCCTTCAAAAGAAGAGGACATAGAGACCTTAAGTAAAATGTCTTGCAAGCTAGGTGATCCACATTTTATGGTTTTTGTAAAACTTGTGGCCATTGTAGTCTTGATTTAATCTTGGTTTTAGGTCTTCACCACAAACTCAGCATTGTTTTTACATAACCATCTGCTCTGTAAGCAGAGCGGTTTCAGTCTGCTGTGTTAAAGGCCTGAGCATTGTTTTAAAGAACTTTCTGCTGGAAAGCCTCAGCTGAGACATCCCTTGGCCTGGTTTCTGCTGCTAAGCCTCACAGCCTGCGTAAACACACAGATTAATTATTTAAACAGGGCCCTGGACATATTGAACCCTTCTATGTAGCAACTTCAATGTATTATGTGTTCTTTAACATCAGTTTTAACTTACTCAGCTCTTTAAGAAGGGTCAAGATTTGCCTGTTGATTACATTATTGGTACTTTGAGTGTTTTCCGTGGGATGTTTATGGGGATGTCATTATTGCATGCCTTTAAAGATGTCTGTTTAGCAAAATTTCCCATGTCTTTTTGAGATGAAAAAGCAATTAATGCAATCTCTCTAATATTCTTAATATGTCTAATATTATTAATAGCAACAAATAAAGCTTAGCTTGTACAACTGAACAACAAACTGGTCAAAGTATCCCCCAAAAGAAATAAAAATCTGATAATTTTTTAAGAAACAAATCTAATTAAAACATTATTCTGTAATTTTGCTACAAAATGAGTTTGATTTTTAAAACATGTCTGAAAATGACAGTATCCTCTTAAATACTGTTCTCTAGAGATAATCATTTTTAGGATCATGGTCTTAGTGAAATATGTGGTTGATTTCTATTTTTAATGACACTGTATTGTAGTGTAGTATAGTGTATGTGTGTATGTGTTGTGATTCCTCCACAAAGAACCAATGTATTAGTGACAATTTTGAATGTAAGAAAATGTTTTATTTCTTTACTGGTGAAAATTTAAAAAGACATCTCTGTAGCAGGGTATTGGTCAAATAATCTACTAGTTAAACAAGGGTAGAATTTTTTTTCAAAATATTGTTACAAATTTTTATTTGGAGGGAGGGATTAATTTTGGGGATTTTTAGAAATAGTCTGAAATGATGTGAAATGAGGTCTGGTACATAAAGTAGACCATCAAACCTGATAATAACATTTTGGGGGATTTGTAACTATAATGAAGAGACCCATTTTCCTTCTGGCCCTGCGATGATTCTACTGAAGAGAAATTTTGAAAATGTGCGGAGAAAGGGTAGTGCCAGCAGAATACACAACACACGTGTCCTCATGCATGACTGCCTCAGAGGCGGCTATCGTTTGAACTTAAAGAGTATGAGATATTTACTTACAAATCATCAGTTCAAAACAGAATGGGAGAGGTCATGTTTAAAATATCTATCAGTCAAAGCTGAGAAGCATTATTTTTTTTTAAATAAAAATGCTTTTTTTGCAACTGATATCAAAGTAAAATTATTCTAAGAGCACATCTTGGGCAAAGAATCTTAAGTGCTTTTCATTTTTTGGATTAAAAAGAATTCCACACACCCAAAATTCCTCTGTATGCCTGAGAGATTAATTTCTCACAACTTTAGGCAATGTCAGTGAAGTCATTATAAGGTTAATCAAAAATTTTAATGCAAGAGACATATGACATAGGAAAATGTATGTACATGCTACAGTTAAGTAAGAAGTGCTTTTTTAAGACATAAGTAACTGAGTTGTCCATTAAAAAC